ATATTGTACCGTATCATTTGACTACATAGCATTATCGTTAGGCTGAAAAAGTATCACATAATGTTGTCATGCGTAATATAATTTAGTGAAAACGTTAAAAACTATCGTTCTTGAGGTTTTTAGAGCCTATTACAGTTAATTATATTTATTATTAACATACTATTATTATTTAATATTATTACTATCTATTATTATTATTTTTTTATTTTTATTAGTGTAGCTACATGCATTAATTCATGATTTATGTAACATATAAATTACAAGAAACCAGTGTGCTTCGTACATATAAGCATTATGATTCAGTTTTTGATAGTAACTGAATGTTCTACTGAGGAGTAGTTACATAATTTACTGGAACTTTGTAACGAGTCTTGATGTCAAAAATTGGATTGTCGTTATGGTAGGGAAAGTTCCATTTAAACTGATGCATAAATGGACGATGGTACGCAAATTTCACGAAAGCTTACCAACACATTCACTTTCTAATAAATAATAATAGTTATTTTTCTACAACTGACTGTTTGTTTTCACAGTTTGCTAATAATGCAATATATCACTAATTCAGGGGAGTTTGATCCAAGAAATGTGCAGGCCAAATCCACTGAAACGACCTCATGCGTTTGAAATTGCTGCTAAACTTAACAAAATGGGAGAAAGCAGGGAATCTCTTAAGGTTCGCATTGAAGAGCTTGAAAATGAAATAGCTCGATTAAAGAATCTACTGTTGGACAATAGAATTGAGGAGGCTTAAAATTTCAAACTGTGTGCAATAGCTACTATTACTTTTTATACGTTTCAAACCATATAACTTTGTCTTTCCTATGACATATAGGATTATTTCGATATCATTTTAATTGTTGTTAGCGATATGCTTAGTTATTATTGTATCATGTTCAGTATTCATGTTAGCTTATTTTTTGTCTTGTTTCATATATGATTTTGTTGAACAGTTATTTCGAAGCATGTCTTCATCAAATTTTCAAACCTCATTTAATATTTTTGAATTAACCAAACAGTTATTTAATTAATCTATGTTTGGAGTACAAGTATAATTAAAAATTATCTTATCTGTTGTGACTTTTTAGAGTCATGCATTAATTACAAATAGTTTATTTTTAAAGGCTGAAAGTCTTGTAATTTCGCTGGATAAGTTTAATAATTACGTTATTAATTTCCTTGTTTGCTGAAACAAAAATGGTTGTTATCGTTAAGAATTATTTATGTACTTGATTGTGTCTGTTTGTTTTTTGTTCATTTCGCGCACATATTCAAAGTTTTGAAAGTGGCATCGGCGATACTGTTTGAAATATATTGTGGAAGAAAGTGAATAAAAATTGTTTCGCCATTCTGAAGTACTTTTTATTATATATTTACAATTTTGTTGCTGACTTTCGAGCATATTTATAAGTTTTTTATTATTACTAAGGGAAGTGTTGAGTTGATAATAGTTCCGTGACAATTTTGGTGTATTCAAATTTTGGAAGATATTTGAATTAATCGGTACTAGAACATACTGAGCGTAGTATGTGCTGTTTATTTGCCCATCTGTTGACATATTTTTAGAGGGAAGAATTTTGTGACGAGACGGACGATTATATCTAATTTTCTCTCATTTCTTCTATTAGACTTGATGTCTATGATTGATTACATCCCTTTAACACGTTTTAATTACCTAATAGTAGCAATGGATTGCTTATCGTGATCGAGATCTTGATATGATTTTCAAAATTGGCAGAAAGACAGATGTAGCAAGTGAGACAAGTTAAGTTAGGTGTTACTGTGAGATTTGCTTCAATGTATGCAGTAGTTTTATTACAGTCATGGAAGCCTTTCTCGATTTTTGTCGTAAAGATGTGTTTGCTGTGTATAAAAATACTGAGCTTTTCTATGCAAAACACGCAAATTATATCAAAAGTTACTTCGAAGACACAGAATCTTATGTAAGTCATCCTTAATATTATGAAGACACGATTTATCTTATGAGACATCTTTTTTGGTTGATTTCACGTGTACTTGGGTCTAGTTAGAAGCTAATTTTCTTTTATTTATTGTTAATAAGCATTGTGTTTTACTGTGTACATATTTCAACAGCTGAAATAAAAAAGTTGTGACCATGCTAAATATTTCATTACGTATCTTGGGTGTGTTTTTCAGCTCCGGATGTACAGAAAAATTAGTTGTTTATTCATTACAGGAATTTGTGAGTACAGAATATCTTCGAATGAGTGGCCTTTATTGGTGTTTACAAAGCTTACAAATTATGGGTAAGTTAGATATAGTCGATACTGACAAGGTAGCTGGTTTCGTTAAGCGCTGTCAACAACCAAACGGTGGTTTTTCTGCTGCAGAAGATCATGATGCCCATCTGCTTTATACATTAAGCGCGGTGCAGGTAAGAATTGTATTGTATTTATCATGGGGTAAGTTTGATGGAGTAGTTAATATGAATATGAAGTGTATTGAAAATACGAGTAACTTCTCTTAGATTTCGTTGTTCAGTCTTTGTTTGCGTATAATCACAAGATATTTAATTAAGACTAGCTAATTTCGATAACTTCTGTTTGAATTAGAAAAATATGTGCAGAATGGACTTTATTGTTAAAGGGAGGTTGTTTTTTTAGTTGTTAACAAGTGTACTAAAATCAATTCGATTGAGTACAGTGAAATGCGCGTAAATCTATGCGTATTATATCATAATGTTTGACTTATAATGAGTGACCGCTCTGCACCTGTGCATTATCAGCTTTGATGACTTTCTCCGCCAGGTTAATTCATGTCTGCCGTGTGCAAATGCATGTGGCATGAAAAAATTATGCAGCGGCAGTGTATACAAGAGAGGTCAGTGAGGGTGAAGAGCAGCTCGTTATGTAATGTAATTCAGTACATCTTGTCATTACGGTTGGAAATTGATGATTGTTGCCAATTATTAATGCATAATATTTCTAGTGTGCTTTCTATTTTTTTTCCGCCTCTGTGATGTATTATTCTTCATTACTTTGACCATTAATGCATATGCTGATACTTATCTTACACTTTTACTTCTCATTTCTCAATTATTTCCACTTTTTATTACGTCTGCTAGATTTTTAATGGTCAAGGAACTAACACGTAAATGATTGAAAGTATAGTTTTATTCCGCTCTTTTCAAGTAAAATGTTTTTCAAGTGAAAAATGATCTATAGTAATGATGAGTAAAGTATTCCCATAGATATTGAACTAAGAAAAAAAAATTGAATAAATTAAGAATATATAAGGGAGTTGAAAACTTTAATTCCTTGCAGATAATGCTAATTCTAAGAAGATTATGCGAGATTGATCTAGATGGAGTCACTAGATATGTAAAATCACTTCAAAATGAAGATGGAAGTTTTGGTGGCGATGAAAATAATGAAATTGACACGCGCTTTTCTTTCTGTGCTATCGCCACACTTTTTTTGATTGTAAGTTATGCAGCCAGAGTTTTGAAAAACTTTTTTTGCTTATCTGCGTAAAATATTCTTTGGATGAACTGTAGGAACAAAGAAGAACTTGAATATTTGTTATCATTGGAAGCACTTACGCAGTGTAGTTTTTGTTTGTGAGCTATCAAAAATTTTTGCTAAAAAATATTGCAAACACTATCAAAATAATATGAATGACGTAAGTTTGAAGAAACGATTAAAATGTTCAATAAACGTGGAGAAAGCGATCGATTTCATTCTTAATTGTTACAATTTCGATGGTGGATTTGGAACGCGACCAGGCTCTGAGAGTCACGCTGGACAGGTTAATCTCTGGCAGTATCTCACTGTTATCTCAATTTGCTCATAAATAAATCGTCTAAATCACTATTAGGATGAATTAAGTAAGCATTTTTATAGGTTTATTGTTGTTTGGGCAGCCTGGCCATTACTGGCTCTTTGGATGTGGTCAATAAGCAGCGGACTGCACGGTGGCTCGCTGAAAGACAGTGTCGCTCAGGAGGCTTGTGTGGTAAGTTACGAACTATCTATTTTTTGATTCCCCAAAATTAAGTGTTTTAACTTAATCTCAGATTTACTTTTATCAATTTTTTTCATATCATTCCTCTATTCATGCTCTATTTCATACTTCATGCGAAAGAAAAATTTACGCTCTGCATTTATATCGTCTGATTCATAGAATAATCATATTTTGTTTGTTTTGTAAAAAAAATAACATCTCGATACTTAAAAATATGTTTCTTTCTGTTTTTTTTGCTCACTAAAACAACGATTATTAAATCAAGCACATCTTTTTCTTAATTAATGAAAAGGATCCAAATTGCCAGTAAATATGAAGATTTAATGGCTGCTAATAAGAAAATAATATTGTGGCAGTGTTGTTATAGTATTGTACTAGAAGAGTCCCCCGGAGAGCACAATAGAGGGATAATAGCTGTGATGGCATCACAACTTTTAGATGAAATCTAAATGTATCCCTGCTGCTAGAATTTTACCTGTTAATAGCCTTGTCATTTCATTACTACCCAAAATTAATGATGATTTATTGGAGGGTAGCACGTCTACACAAGATTATAATCTTGCTGTACTTCCTTCTGAATGATTTTCAAAGCAGTGCCAGATAATGAGTACTGGAAAAAAATTGTTACACAAATTTTCGCATTCGCGAAGTTATCGGACAAAAATATTCCGAAACTTCCTGCTATGATCGTAATTATATCAACTTTCATGTAATTTTATGCTTACATGGCAACCGTTTTTCCTACCAAGGACTGTCTCTTAAATCTCTATCCTACTGTAAAGTCATTCATAATCATTATAAGTATCTTTTTTTACATGGTTTCGTTCAACTCGATCTGAAAAAACTTTGTTTAGCTCACTTTTTATGTGAAATTACTCGAAAGAATTTTGCGGAAATTTGAACTGTTGAATTATTGATACTTGGTTGATATGTTTGGATTGAAAATATGCATGAATGCAAAAATATTGAGACTTTCTGCAAGATATTTGTTAAAAAGAATAGGTAGAAATTACAGGGCAATAACAGCTTCCCCGTTTATGGGATGGTGATGAGGACATAAAGTCTGCAATGATTCCCTTTAATGTAGTAAAAAATATGACCTTTGAGTATTGACGAGAGAGGAGACTGATTTGTTTATGAAGTGAGGATATGTTATGTTACTTGGAGAGGGTACACGCGTGCCGTGAAACAACATAATAAATTAATTTGACCTGCCCTCTTGTGCCACCAACGTTGTTCGACTTTCTTGAACACAATTAATGTTACATTTAATTTATCTCAAGGACTACAAGGAGTGATTAACGCATCATTATGCACATTATCGGCCATGCCCATCAGTGAATGTGAAAGAAGAGAATTAGAATAACTGAAGTTTTGAAATAGCAATTCTTCATTTAACAACACTTGTTTCTATTTTGTGTACTTCTGCCGAGTAAAATGCAATAAAACTTTTCGAGCAATTGCCGTATTAATCAGTTTAGACACTAATATCGAAAGTCTCATTAGCAGACCGAGGTGTTAGGAAATGAAATAATAATTAGCGGTTTTATATTCCATTCAAAACTTTTGATAGTTTGACTTGGATGCATTTCCAGGTCGTCCAGAGAAGCTACCTGATGTCTGTTATTCGTGGTGGGTGGTTGCATCATTAGCTATACTTGATCGACAGGACTGGATTGATAAGGTTTGTAAAGCTTTTCTTCACAATCATTTATCAACAAAAATTTGCTGTAATAAATTTTACATTGTTTCAGTCCTCTTTAGTCAAATTTATATTAGCTTGTCAAGACGAAGATGGTGGTTTTGCTGATCGACCAGGCGATGTGGTACGTAGATTAAGTTTTTCATCTTTTTTATTATGAACTTATATGAAGTACTTGGTGCTATGTATTCCTGAGGTTTGATCAATTGATTAAATTCATAACTTAATTTACAATAACTTTAAAATTTGTTTTCAGGCGGATCCATTCCACACACTTTTTGGACTTGCAGGATTGAGCCTGGTTAATGCTTTCAGAGATACCTTAAAACCAGTGCATCCGGTATTTTGTTTGTTGAATGAAAATATTTTCGAAAGCGGATTATCATGTTGAATATATCATTTATCCTGCATCTATGTTTCAGTATCTACTCTCTTGTTAACGCTCCTTCTGGAAACAGAAGGGTGACAAAGGAGTTTATAAAAAATTGATTGAGGATCTAGATTTTTTATTCATGAGCAGAGACACACATTAGTAGCCTCTTAATGAAACATTCAGTGATGACGAGCTTAATGCTTGCTGTTAATGAACAGAAATTAGTTGCGTGTATGATTATGTGAATTCTTGTCTTCCAGAATTCAAAAAAGAATTGCTCATTAGAAAATGGGGTCAGTGAGTGTAGTGAAGTGAGGATGAATGAGCTCTGCAAGGCTGAGTAATTAAAGGGTGCGGTAAGGCATAACGGCATTTCATGTCATCACCGTGTTCTTTGCAGTTTTATAACCGATATAAAAGCTTTGCATTTTGAATAAAAATAAAATGTGGCACGTGTAGACAATAAATATATCCTTTTTGCCTGCTGTCACTAATCATATAAGGATGTAGTTCTTTTAATTGTCACCAAGCTATTTGTTTAAAATATACGAGGGTTAGCTCTGTCTGTTTGTCTGTATTCTACATTTATAGTTTGTACAATCTGCTTAATGCATAGGTATCTTACTATTTTTATTTATTTCTTGTTTTCAGCTTAATCTTATTTGCAATGGTGCCAGTTTGTAAGGGTTCGCTTTCAGAATCACAATAAAGCAGAATTGTAGTTTGTTTTTGTATTCACTTTAGAGCGAGAAAACACAGTTCGTGGTTCATATTTCGTCATACAAAAATTGTATTTAACTGTACACAAAAGTTGATTAATTATGATTTTATTAAAATGTATTAACTGGTGAGGTCAAGGAGAGTCGAGTTAGTGTGATTTGATTTGAAAAGAAAGGGAATTTGTTTGTTAGAATGAATTCCACAAGCTAGGATTCATAGAAGCTCAGCAGGCTTTGATTTAGTGGTTTAGGGTTGTACGCAATCATGAACAAACAAGAAAGGCACTTCAGTTGCATGGAATAGTCAAGAAGTGCTCTAATAATTTTAATATTCAAAATAAAAATAACTTAATGGGATTAGTAATTCATTTTACCGAAAGTTAGTCACGTCTGTGGAATCATTCAGTGTGAGGTCTGATCAGATTGGAAGGATCCTTCAGAGCTGTTTTGATTTCGACAAATATGTAAAACCGAAAATATATGAGTTGCACATTCTCAGTCTACAATTGCCATAAATTGAAATTATTTAGCTGAAAAAATACACAAGATACCTGTTGGGTGTAAAACATAGTTGAGTGACGGTAAAATGTTATTCCTGAAAAATTATGGTATAAAAGTATACTGAGTTGTCAAAAATTTTTAACAGTTATGCAAGCTTTCAAGATATGGAAGCAATCGACGTCCGTGAAATTCAAAAAAAAATGTTAATGAGTACCTTCAGGTACCACCAACTTTAACTATAGATATGCAGCCTGATGGTACTTTAGACAACAAAAGTCAAAAACAGCTTGTTCTAAAGTTTATTAAACAAAAGTATGAAGTATGCTATAAAGAGACTTAAGTATTCTAAGCTAAAATGAAAGAAGACAGAAAGCAAACTGGTAGTAGGTAATGAATATTGAGTAATCTCTTTTTTACAGGAGAGGATCAGTAAATAATAAGTAATTACTGATGCTCTCATGTAAAAAATATTAACTTAAGAAATTTTATGAATCTAAAAGTTAGACACTCTTCATGAAATCAGCCAAATACAATTTTTGGTTCGTTTTCTGAAGAAACTACCTTTGGATGTCTCCATCCTGTGCTGAGAAATGAGGTAAATGCAGTCAACCAAAGAATTTGGTTGTTACTTATCAAAAGTATATTACTGTGAATGCACAGATTTCATTAACAGCTATATCAAAATATATTTGAGGTTCAATATTGAATCTGACATTTAAGTTATTAAAATATTTAAATATGAATATGATTTTCGCTGTGGCTCTAGAAATTGTGAGGTTTGGTATTTCGTTAGATACCAAATAGACACAAAAACACTGAAAAAACCAATACTTGTACACCGTAATGAGAGTAGCGATTCGAGGTTTTCGAGTAATTGAAATGTAAAATCTATTTGATTTGTCTTTTCGAATTTTATATCAAAGTATAGAAGGAAATATACTTCAACTTTGCACCAAATAATATGTAATCTTAACGCAGATTTAATGCAAAAAATAATGTTCTGCCAAATTACAAGGATGAAAGTTTCTGAACAAAAATTTAAATTGAAACTTTATTAAAGTAATGCTAAGTCATAGAAATGCTTCATTTTCTTATTATAAATAAAATACATAAAAATCATTGACACATAATATAGTACTACAATTACAGATGATTTGATTCGGAGTGCTGCTCAGATATGAAGAATAATAATTTAGTAAGGAAGTTTTTTATGAGTGAAAGAAAAAACGTGTAAACTGAGTGTCTCGGATATGACATAAATAATGAGCATTTAATTGTTTTTGTGTATTTATGGAATCGAAAAAATAAACTTGTAGATACGTCAATATCACGTAACAAATGAATGAATAAATAAGCAAACAGTGAGACAATTCAGCTGAAGACAATTCAGCATTAAGAAGTTTGACTACCGTACTACTAGGAATGTCCGTCTTATTTGTCCATCTATCTTGGAGGCAGAGACTAAGAAGGAGGACAAATCAAAGTGCCATCGCAGAGAGAGACTCCGCCCAATATCTTCGTGACAATAAGAATTTTTTCTTGACTGCACGAAATAAATACCTTGTGGAGTAGTTTGTCGTCAAGTGGAAGATCAGTGATGGGAATGAGCGCCACCTGGCTGCACCACATGTCGTCTCCTTCCTCGGCACTTCAACTGAATTGGCAGCTACAACATCAGCCACCGTACTCCCAAGTAACTCTCGAAAAAACTCCCGATCAAACTCTCAGTACTACCACTTGCTATGCTGATCAGTCTGGCAATGATCAGATCCCTGAAAACTTTTTCTGGCAACACAAGTACTTTTTGTCCTTCTTATCTACTTTATCATTACTTTCCCGTCGAGCTTTTATAATTTCATTTAAAAAGTTAGTTATCAATCAACCAATAGCTCAATCAGTCATTAGTCACTCAAATTCAGTCAGGTCTCCATTAATTTAATTCCTCAGATTTTTTTTGCAATTTTTGTAGATTTTGAGCTGAATCTTTTTATTCAGATAAGTAAATAGATGTGGTACATTATGAAACTTTATTATGTACTGAAAATAATTAATTCGAAAACTTGTAAATTTGATTTCTTTTCTTTTGCGAATTGTATATTTAAAGTGCCAAATACAAAACTTAACTTCAGAGATGCTTAACCACAAAGCATAAAATTTAATTTCTGACATTTTCGATTAGTGTTTAAGTCTTTGCTATTAACAGAAAATGAATTAACAGAAAGTGTTTAATGTAACTGCAAGATTTATGAGATTAAGTTACTGCCTGGCAAGAATACGTGTCTAAAATTTTGTCCAATTCTTCTACTGTAATAAAAATTAACCATAGAAAAGTATATATATTGTGATACGTCGATAATTTTTGTAAGCATTTAGTGGTACATTACTCAAAAGAAATAGTATCTTTTATTCGTCGCACAAAAATTGTTTCTACCTGTGCTGACTTGAGGTATATTGCACATCTGAATATGGTTTGTCTTCTTAAGAAAGTAACTTCATAATGTGCTGCTTCCCATAGCTCTTTGAATGAAACACTATTTGCAAATACTTTTGTAAAAATGAACTGTCATTTTTAGTATGCATTGTTAGCAAGCGACTTTTAGATTTTAGCGTCGAATAATGTCCAGAATTGATTGAAATAAGATGCAATGACAACAAAAAACAACGGAATCATTGGATTCAAATTAAATTATTCAGTTTAAATTAAGTAAATGAATGGCTATTTCAGTAGTTTTGAAGGAGCAAAGGAGGATGAAACAGAAAAAGAAGTGGAAAATTTTGATTCAAAAATGCGTCGAAAATGTAAAGGTGGAGCGAGGAGGTATAAAACTCCAAGTCCACAGTTACTTCGAATGAGACGTCAAGCAGCGAATGCACGTGAAAGACGACGCATGAATAACTTAAATGATGCTTTCGATAAAGTACTTTTAGTATTCATAATTATTACTACTTATCATTTTATCTTAATTAACTTTCCCGCTTATCAGAAAATAGACTTAAGTAATCTTCAGTAATTATGAAACGGAAAAACAATTAAAAAAAGAGATAAAACGTCATGATGAATAGTTTTCTGAGATCAATATACTGATCAGTTTACGTATATATATAATATTTTTTACAATATTTGTTTTTGCTTCACAGTAGTTTTTTAGTCTCTGTGATTTTAGTTTTTGTCAAAATTTTTTTATAAATTAAGTACCAGGAACTCAAGCACCTTAATCTTCCTCTACAAATTAAATACCAAGGTACCTCAATCCTAATCTATAACAAACTTGTCTAAATATATTCATATTTTAGAAATTTGCTACCAGTTTTATTTAATATATTTTGCTTTCAATTAATTGTAGCAAATTGAATGGTATTGAGTTTTGACTTCGAAATTCAGTGAAGATTTTACATCACATATTCTAATTAATTTTATTTTTTCTACACTTTTGTTGTTTGATTTGAACTGATTTGATTTTGATGACTACAGCATTTATTTTTTGCATGAAACTTCATTATCAACTTTCAATTTATTTTACTTTTCGCCTTGAAAACTTTACTTTTTGTTAAAGAGGGGAAAGTTCAACCAGGGAAGTTCTTTTAATTTTTTATTTTTTGCAGTTGCGAACTGTTTTACCATCTGTGGGCACTGGGAGAAGGCTATCAAAATTTGAAACTTTACAAATGGCTCAACAATACATTGACTGCTTAGCGGAATTACTGAACAAGTCATGATAATTTGATTTTTCTGGCTACTATGACTTCTGTGAATATGGATTCTTGCTACCTAACCGGTAATTACCTATAGAACCTTTCAGGTTCTCTATTTTCTCATAACTCGTACAAAGTGTAATTAGTTCATTACAGTTCATTCTATTATAAATATTTCATTTTGTCAGATTTTCTACCAAACGAATGTCATATTTGATAAATTGTCAAAAACTGTACAACTTTTTTGCTCACATTTATTTGCTTATTTTAATGCTCGTTTGATGATCAGTACTTGTAGTTCTTGTTTGCAGAAGATAACAATGAGTGCTACTGCTGAGATTTTGATTGAGAAAGATAAGAGACAAAAAATTGTTGCAACAGGAATGAAGTTCACTTTCAATACAATAATAACTGTATAAGTTCATTAGCCCAGTTATTAAATACTTGATTAAAAGATTAATCCAAGTCCACATTTTGGATCAATTAAGTACGTAACAAGGAAATGGTAGTTATCAAGTTTGATAATTAGTATACAGTAGTACGTAATTATCTCTTTATTTACTTAAAGATGTACACATAAATGTTTGCATTTTAATAAGATTGTATGAACACAAGAAAAAAATTGTATAAAAGTTGAAAGCATCAATTTTTTACACACATAGATGTTGTGAAGCAATAACACAAGTCAAATCAGTAATATGCGTCAGAATAATTACGTCTTCTTTGATTTAAATGAAATATGCAGTACAAAAGCAAATAGTTCAACAGAAAAAATGAATATTTTGTTCAAGTAAACAATGCACAATGCAAGTAAACTGAAATGGCAAGTGAGTACGGGTCCAGTGATTGAATTTTTCACTGTTATCAGTTCAAATAAAAGTAACTTTACTTTTCTGATTGCAAAAATGACTATCAATTAGATAGTTCGCTGAATTGTTCAACTTCAAATAATGATCTGTTTCAAATAATTATCTGTTCCAAACAATTATCCGTTTCAAATAATGATCTGTTTCAAGTAATGATCTGTTTCAAATAATGATCTGTTCTCTACTTTTGCAGAAATGTTTCGGCAGAAACCCAAATTTAGGCCAGTTGCGTGTGGGCAAGTGTGTGTGTGTCTTAAATTTTAACTGTAAATAGGAGTGAATTTAATATGAATAAAATATTACTGCCATTAGTCTACTTGGCAGCTTACCAAATCAAAGGCGGTTGGTCCTTTGATGTTTGCGAATTTAATTTATTTTTTTTATATAAAAGAAAACAACAAATATCGTTCGTGGAAGTTTCAATCTGGTAGTCTTTTTCCAACTTTGCCCTCAAAATGTCAATAGGATCGTTTTGGGCAAACAAACTTCTGCTTTGAAACTTCAATTTTAAGAACAAAACGATTACGTCAAATGACACGCAAGCGAAATCGCATAATTAATTTTTAATTGTTTAATTGAACGAAATTTTCTTTCAAATTTTTATGAACCTCGAGTTCATGGAGACTTGTATTGTTTTGAATTAGTCATTTCAGCTAAAAAAACATAGGAAAAAGAAGATCAAACATCGGGTCAATAGTTCATTTTGTATAAGTCCGAATATAACTAGTCTTTATAGCAAAACTTACTCTCTAACTGATTTAACTATGCTTTTTACTGTCATTTTTGGTTGTTAATTTTCTGTAAATGACTCATTAAGATTTATTTATTATGAGAGTTACATTTGTTACTTTCACTAAATCTTTGCTATATTATTACATTGTGATGAGCGAAATGTTGACCTTTTGCTCCAAATCCCACTGATATTTTTAAATGCTATCTAGGAATTTATTGGGAATTTCACAAAGATAGAGATTTACAGTGCAGAAAAACAGCGCATCTAAATTAAATTAAGAATTTCTTCAGTTTCAGTTTCTTTAAAATTGGGAATTTCGACTTGCGTTAATTTTGTAGCTGCCAGTAATTACAGCGAGGATTATTTTTTGCCTTCTGTTGTCAGTTATCTCATTCTGACTCAGAAACTTACTTGCCATTGCATTGCAATTGTTTTATGTGTGCTAAAATTTCATTTAAAAAGCCTCTAGCTCAGTTTCAAAAGAAACAATTTCAAGAGTGCGTTCAGATGCTTGCATCTGTCAGAAGTACAGTTTCACTGAGATTCCACATCAGTGAATACGTCAACGATCTTTTACTTCTGGTAAAAATGGATTGATTTAACGCTTGATTCTTGTTTGATTTTGCATGATTTATTTCTGTATGCAAAAATCGCAGTGTTTTTTGCGTGTTGCTTAAGAAAAAAATACTGCCTGAAAGAATTAAAATAATATCAGCACAATTTTGTTAAATATCGCATCCAATCTGTTGTCGTTACCATTAAAAAGACCAAAGTTAAGAGAAAGCTTTTGGAAATATATAAGAATTGCTTTAGCTTTGCATAGCAATTATGTGATAAGCCATCATTAGTAAATGCCAATATTGTGAAAATGTAAAGTGAAATATAATTATGTGACCTTTCACCTTTATTTGATGTCGTCCGCAAATTTTCATAAATCTTTGCGTAAAAAGAAGGTAATTAGCGGCAATTGTTAATGATTTTTCGATAGGTCATTAACATCATCAATGCTACTAATTTCTGAATAAAATAGAAATTGACAGTGCAGAAAAACACACATCTAAATAAAGAATTTTTTCAGTTTCGTTAGGATTAAATCTGCTTCAAATTACAATTTCAGATGGAGTCTGTATTACAGGACAACATTATGCAATGACTAATTCATCTTCACTCTGTACTACAGAATTTGCATTAAAATACTCAAATTTTTGAGCGTTTTTAAACCACAAAATTGTGGCGCCAAAAAGTTTCCTTCCACAATGCTATCGACTAACGAATGAACTACTTCAATCATTTGCAAAGTTCGGACGTGATAAACAATCGATAATATTGCTTTGCTGAACGCTTTCATTTCACAAAAACTTTGAGAGAAGTGCTAATTCTGACCAATTTTTTATTCGTTTGTGTGGCGCATACTTTTGACGTAACTTTTCACGTTAAAACTCACTTGTTTCTATCTCATTGCAGCGGTCCACATATACTGCTTTGTGCCTGAAACCAAGCGGTTCTGTGAACTATGCGCACAGCGACATTTTAATTACTGTTAGCTATTGCAGACATTTTTTCTTACCTCAGTGTTATGCATATTCATTTTGATAGGATCAGTGTTAAGTGATGTGTTGATTTCACTTTGTTTACTTTTCACACATATTAAATTAGTTGGTACTGTCAATGACTCAACTCGACTGCAGTGCTGGCAGCAGTTGAAGAATGATCAGATACAAAGATTCCCTCTCCATATCTCTATGATTTATCTCTCTTGACATTAATCATTCTTGGATTGCAAGATGCAAGTTCATCTCTATCTCACAGTGTTTAAACTGATTCTTGTGCTGTAGAATATATTTGCAAGTTCACGTAAAATGTGCATTTCAGTTCTCTCTCCTTGCGCAAATGACATTGCATTTTTAAAGTAAACATTTGTATATGTGACGCAATTGACCGTTATTTTATTCAATGTGCTGCTTACTTTTCAAAACAGCAATGCTCACGTAATAATTTAAATGGAAAATCTATTTATAGAATGCCGAGAATTGAGTATGAACCAAAACTTGACTTCAAAGATGTTCTCTTACGACCTAAGCGGTCCACGTTGAAGAGCAGAGCGGATGTCGATCTTATTCGTGAGTAAGAACTCAAGCTCGTTTGTTTGTTTGTGAACCTGCTTTGTAAATACTTTACTTCCGTTGATTTCGTTTATATGTGGATAAAATTTAGACTTATCAGGAATTTACTATTACATCTTATTTAGAGTGAATGAGACTTTCTTTCCTTTATCTAATTATCAAATGCTTTAGTTTATTAATTTCCTTTATACTGTTTGTGGTCAATAATTTTAGAGTGAAATCAATCAAGAATTTTCACTTTTATGACAGAAGATAAGTGAAGGGCGATTTTTTCTCCACTCTACTATTTTTCACTCCATGAATATATTACATTGCCTTGCACGTGTAATTCACAGAATTGCACGTGCAAGGCAATGTAATATATTGTAAGTTTGCGGTCATATTCAACTTGTAATGATTCCGCGATCTGCTGCTTTGCTTTGCCATCACTTTTTTATTATTAGATGATTGAAAACAAAATTCGAACTTAGTTTTTGCATTCAGTCTTTTGATGATTTGTGGCTTGGACCTTTTTCATTGTTAACTTGATAGATATGATGTTTTATGTCGTCAAACATATGAAATCAGAAATAAGTTAATGTTTATTTTGCAGCATTTCTAACTTTTTTAGATTTGTGTTTCGGAATTCGAAGAAGCACTATGTGGGTATACCAGTGGTGGCATCAAATATGGATACTGTGGGAACGTTCGAAATGGCTGAAGTTCTTTCCAAGCACAAACTATTCACAACAATACATAAACATTATACAATTGATGAATGGCTACAATTCAGCAATAAAATAGGCTGCTCAGAAAGTGTGAGTAATATCTTATAATCATGGCTACTTCTATTCATGAAGTATTATTCTTAATTTTCACTTGAAGTTCGAAAAGACAGAATAACGTTTTGGAGCGGGAAAATTAATCATTAATTACTAAGCGAAGCGCTTGCTAAATGTTAAAATCCGAAAATGTGAGGCACATTTTTCAAGCATTGGCAATATTAAATCTATATCAGGTACTATCGCAAGTGGCAATTTCTTCTGGTATATCGGAAACAGATTTCATGAAACTGAAAAGAATTTGTGAAATGATTCCTGCACTGCAATTCATTTGTCTAGATGTGGCAAATGGATATTCGGAAATTTTTGTGGATTTCATACGGCGAGTAAGAGAAGAGTTTCCGCAGCATACAATAATTGCTGGTAACGTGGTGACAGGAGAAATGATCGAAGAGTTGATTCTATCAGGAGCTGATATTGTGAAGGTCAGTAGTCACTTTATCTTTGAAAATATTCGCATGTTATCAATTTGTCATATTCGTCATGATCATTATTGATGTGTTAGTTTAAAGTCGTGAAGGATTGTTTGCATTTTAGGTAGGAATCGGTCCTGGTTCAGTATGTACGACTAGGAAAAAGGCTGGAGTTGGTTATCCGCAACTAAGCGCCGTGTTAGAATGTGCCGATGCTTCGCATGGTTTGAATGGACATGTGATGAGTGATGGTGGTTGTGCAAACCCCGGAGATGTTGCCAAAGCATTTGGTGCTGGTGCTGATTTCGTGATGATTGGAGGTACAGTACTCTGTATTATTGACATTTTGTGGCCCGAAATGAATTTTTTCGCATCAAAAAGGAAAGCTAATTGTATTAAATAGTGCCACTTTTAATTCATGTCATATTTTCCTAACACATGGTGAACTCGAACCATTTTTTAAGGCTTGTTTGCCGGGCATGACCAGTGTGGTGGCGAAATTATTGAAAAAGATGGCCAAAAATTCAAGTTTTTCTACGGAATGTCATCTGATACGGCAATGAAGAAACATCAGGGAAGTGTAGCAGACTACCGTGCTTCTGAAGGAAAGACAGTCACAGTTCCCTACAGGTCAAGCCTGATTCTTTTGGAGTTTATTATAGTGTTCGATTATAAACCGATGCCATACATTAAATTAGGTGGTACTGTTAATGATTCAACTCAACTGTAGTACTGACAGTAGTTGAAGAAAGATCAGATACAAAGATTCCCTCTCCATACCTTTATTAGTTCATACTTTTTCCAGGGGAGATGTCTCAAATACAGTACAAGATTTGTTAGGTGGACTACGGTCAGCCTGTACTTATACTGGCGCAAAAAAATTGAAAGAACTTCCAAAACGAGCTACTTTTATTCGCGTTACTCAACAGGCCAATGAACAGTATTCAATGTTTGAAGTGTCTTCGTCAGATTTATCGGCTTCAAATGCTAGAATATGACTTATTTGAAAAGCTTGCAGTTATGTTTTTAAAACATAATTCTCAGTTTAGGCAAAAATTGTGCCATCTAGTTATTCTCTTCATTAATACTTCAAAGGTATAAACTGCTTTAGCTTTGTCGAAACTAAATTTTTCAATTATATATATGTAAATTACATGACACTATAAATCATTATTTTTTCATGTTATGAAAATACATTGCGAGTGCCCTACTTCTTAGTTTTATTCAAATTATGCATTTTCTCTTATTTCTATATTAGGAGTTTATTGTGAGTTAGTCTTTTCCAATATATACACATTCTGGAACCTTGCGACTCCATTTTTCAGAAGATATACATTCTAATACATTTTCTGAATCAAGACGATACTCTGTTGAAGTGCAGTAGTATACCACTTTTTCCCCTACAAGATAGTAAGCTTTTGCAAGTGAGGTACTGTCTCCTTGTTCAGGTTTTCCAGGGTAACGACAGATCGCCACACCTGAAAGATTACATCACTTGTTCTTGCCATCCTTATTCATGTCTGCTACTATTTTTCTGCAGAGTATGAGCTGCCAAAACTGTCTAAAAACATCAACTGTAGAAACGCACTTTATGTTATGGAATAATTTGCTAATTGCATGCGTATTAAACGAAATGGTAAATAGTAATTACGGAATATTTCTATGTGACGGTATGAATCACTTTTGCGATAGTGATATTGATAGGAATAGCAGAAGATGATAATTTTAAACATACATTTTACATTAACGTGAGTCCAGCTCCCATTTGCTTGACAGACGCTGTAGTCAGAGCCAGTTAACATGTAACCACGTTTGCATTCGAACACAACCACTTCTCGTACACTATATTCGTCCTTCAATTCTCCGACTATAAGACCATGTCGAGGTGCTTCTGGTCTTCCACATTTCACACCTCAAAAATTGAAACAAGAAGGTGAAAAACCAGAAGACTGCCGCACAAATCCGTAAACACTTCAATATAATTAAAATCGGTACTATGAGAAAACGTACTTCTGCACTGTGGCATAGAAGCAGACCACTGACCATTTGAAAGACAATATAATGTCCTGGGACCATCAAAAATATGTGTCGCTGGACAAGAAAGTCGAGCAACACCTCCACTATTAAAAGTTGTAACCACTACTCTCAATTCAGCATCCGTAATTATTAGAGGTGGACACTGCAATGCTATAAATTTCATCGCGTTTAAATTACATATACTAGTAAGACAAATTTTATTTTTGGTGTTTGCAAACAGTTATGCAAAATAAAACCCATGAATTTCCCACTTGCATTTCAAAGTGAAGCAGAATTTTTTAACACCTATTGTTTTCTGAACGCAACTATGCTTTCTATTTCAAAAATTTAGACAATTACTTAATCTCGTTTGGGAAAAGTTTTCAAGTCTTTTACTGTACATAATGAATGACAACTACTAAAATCAAGAATACCTCGACAATTTGGTGCATTATGAGACCATTTTCCAGAGCTAAGACAAGTCGATGAATGGGATCCATCAATATAAAAACCTGTTTTACAAGAAAACTGCGCAATCGTGCCGATGAATAGAGATGTGCTGGTGTAGAAAATTTGTAAGTTCGTTGAATAAGTGAAAGGAAGGCATCTTTGGTCTGTAATCGTACTTAGAGATTTTTTATTTTATCCTGAACAAGGTGATTAGCATCAGGAAATAAAAGAGAAACATGAAATTTCTAACCTTTAACAATAATTTTGACAGTATTTCGACTTCCACTAGGAAGGATACAGTGAAAAAATCCCCCATCTTCTGGACGTGACACAGATACGATCAACTGAAAGTTTGGCTACTTTTGGAAATCAAAAATTTATCTTTTTATACAATGTCTAAAAGCAAGTTAGTAGGTATCCTTACTTCATAGGCATCCGCTTGTAATTTTTGTGGCAAATTCACTTTAGTCCATGCTTGCGCGTATTTACGGTACGTTGTGGAAACTTCCCACTTTGGTTGTCCTTTGAAACGAGGGAATAGACACTGAAGCCGAAACGTTGTTGATATATTTACCACAAGTTCTCCACGTGGTGTTACTGTATGCAAACCATGCTCTAATTCCAACTTAATTGGAGGTGCACCATCTGACAGAAGAAAGTCCCGATTTTGAAAATGTTATGAAAATAAAGACTGCATAAAATGAATAAACTATTAAGTCAAGCAATTTTTAAACTTTGCAGTGACATATAAACAAATTCTGAACGAGGAAACAAATGTTCACTGAGAATCTTTGAAATTTTTACAGTAAATTTAACCAACCAGCAGTATTATTTGCGTCTAATACGATGCATTTCGGTATTTTAGGAATCCATGTGCCTCCTCTACAACGGATAACATCGCTTCCTTTTAATTGCTGCATACCATATTCTTGACACGAAAATATTAACTCTGTTCCATCTGTAAACATAAACTTCGTAAATTGCTAAAATATGTGCAGTATTATGAAAAAATTCAAATCTCTCTATTCCATCAATACTTCAGCAATTTATAAATTTTTATGAAAAACATACCTACAAATCGTTGATTAAAAGTGATCTGCTGTTTGTGTTTAACAGAAAACGCAATCAAGTATGACTGTTCACTCACTCGATATTCACATGATTGTGTATCTACAATAACGAGTATTTTCTAATTAAAATATCCAAAGAGGAATCTTCGAGAATATCAGTTTCAACAAAATAGCTGATATATCCCTGGGAAAAAATCACGATTTCCATATGAAAATATAATATTCAGAGAAAAATAAATTGTCTAATATCTTCTTGACAAATTTAAAAACAATACATAGAATAGAATTCGACATTTAAAAAATTCAATTTCTATTTCATTAATGGAATGGTTGAAAATCATGATTTTTTTTATTTAGTTGATGAAAAGTTCCAGAAAATGAATTGAAAAAAAAGTCACTTGAGAAACATTAGCAGACTGCTTGTCCAGTTTGATTCCTTTGTTGGGATAAAAATCTAACCTGAGTGACAGTGAAGCATGCTGGTGGTAACCCATTTGCTTCGAATACAACGCAATTGCATCATTCTATCATTATCCATTAAAAATCCTACTGCGCAGCCTACCTGCAGTCAGAACCAAAATAATAAAAAATAATATGTAAAAAGTCAACTAGAAACAAATTTAAGACATCAGATTTCGATCACTAAATAATAATGTGGCGGATAATTATCCTGTTGCTAACCATAAACTTTAATAAAAAACCTTTAAAGTACTTCCTGGAGCAAATCGTGATTTGTTTGAAATAACAGGATTTTCAATGTTAAAAACTCTATAAAAAGAAGCAAGATTAGGCATCGTGCACATCCCATCAGTTTGCTTGTTTAACTGTGCATCGGATGGCTGCACTAAAAGCAAAAATACTAAGTATTTGATTCGTACTAAAGACTCAACAAGTTCCTATCAAAAACCCGAAGTATCCTTGATATGCAATTCAAATTAAATGATCCATCCTTGACTGTCAATGATAATTATGAATCATACATCCTATACACATGTTGATTAAATCATACAATAACAAATTCAAATAAAATAGTGTCAGCCAACAGCTAAAAATGAAGTTCTCCATAAAAGTTATACCTGATACTGATAGTATTTTTTTCCAGACATAAAGTTTCATATTCTAACCTGTCTTGATTATATTATTTTACGAAATAAAAGTCGCACAAGCTTGGAAAATACTTGAGTTCTTGACTTCATATGAATTGTTTCATTTTAATCACTTTGATATGACATCAACAAAGAAAGGAAAAATTAAGAATTAAAATCAAAAATTCCTACCACATGGCAGAAGGCGCGTGAACCATTCACCATTCAAACATTCAATTCCATTTGCATCAATTTTGTGCAGTTTATCTGCACAGATATATTGAATTATGGTATTTTTTGGAAACATTAGCTCTTCTGCATTAATGTCTAAACGGATTAATTGACCACTTACGTTAGTCATACGGTATGCAATAAATGGCTGATAATCATTGGGACGACGACAAGAAGCCAGTGATGATCCTAAAATTTTGAAATAATTAAATACAGATCTATATAGATAATTACTCTTGCAAAATTGTCATTATGACGTATAACTAACTTCGAAACTTGAAGATTTCAATTTTTTTCAATTACTTTGCATAATATTTTTAGCATGATTATATCGCATTCTCTGCTGATTTTTTTTACATTAAATTTCAATTTCTTACCAAAAATGTGCATTAAGTAAAAATACAAAAATACTTTTCAGTATTTGTATAAAAAGCAAAATAACAGTATTTTATATAAAACTCCACCATTATCATTACAACTGAAGCGTGGATGTATTTCACCAAATCGGCACTTCATTTTGACTACAACTGCGTTACAAGTCACGTAAATCTCTTCATTATGCTTCAGCTGTGTTTTATTAACACCGAAATGGATACTTTCAGTAGTTTCTAATTTGCAGTGTTCTGAAAATGGGAAAAAGAACTCCCCAAGATAAATATTAATAAACCTTTGATTTCTTAATGGTTTATCACAACAATTGAGATACTCTTAATATCAATAATGCTAAAAGAGGATTTGAAAAATGAACTTGGTTTGCAACGTCCAATCTGCTCAATAAATATGCCCTGTTTGCATTCTAAATTGTCATTTCCACGTAGTTCATAACCATGCATGCAAATCATTCTTGCATTACTTCCATGTTGTATTTGATCACCAGACTGCAAAATTCGCTCTGAGCGTACATCAAGGAAAAATACGTGATTTCGCATCGGGATCTGACAGTCATCTATAAAAATATCAACAGAACTGAAATACTTTAATATTTCTCAACATAACAAGGTAAAACCAACCACCTAGCAATATTTTGCAAAATAAGACACTTCCTGCCAAAATTACAGTGTTTACCTGGGATACACTGAGGAACTTGCGGTATCCACTTTCCATTTCTGCATTTAACTACTACTCCATTTGTTGGAGAACTTTCAAGATGAAAGCCTTTGGAGCAAGTAACCTAAACCACTTTTATTATTCAGAACTGACTTTCCATATATTTTGCAGAAACTACACAATTTTCAAGTGTTTTTGACGTCTAAAAAGAGTACTGAATGTCCTTTGACAGAGAATTTAATTAAAATTTTGATGGAATCTTTGTCAACACCTTAGTAGTCAAAATACAACAATACACAACAACTTTAAAGTCCAACTAGCACACTAACCGTGCAATAAATCTAGGAAATTTTGGAATAATAAAAGAAACAAATAATAGAAGTAACCAAAATTTCTCGCGGGATTTGACCTCCTTTGGTAATATATATTTTTCTTTTATAATCAATCACAATAGGTTCACACGGTACTGAACGACGAAATCGCATCCAAGAGATCTGCCCTTCCACCATGGGATGCGTCTGTGACACACATTTTGGTTTCTTGCGCGGCATCCAATCACCATTGACACATGTGGCCTGAATGTATAAAACAGTTAAAAGTAAGAATAAACCAACATAGCAAAATCGAGGATTATTAGTGAATTAATTTGGTTTTTTTCGATAATATATTTGATAATTAAATTAATCTGGTCCAATCTGAAGTATTTAAAGTCTAAAAAATTAACATATTACAACTTTTATTATAAATTTAGTCAGAAAATGAGAATTCATCATACAAAAGTAATTAAGATTTAAATAAGTAAATTATTCAATTTATTTATCTAAATCTGTTTTTAGTCTCTTTCAAAATTCAATGAGCTAGATTAGCACTACTTAGTACTAATGTATACTTTGAAGATATTTGACAATTATAGTAAAATAATTTTATGCTGTTACGCTAAACTTTATGTTTTGCTTTGATATTTCTAAAAGTACTTCTCACTTATCGGCGATGTCAGTAATTCCATCTTCTCTAACAAACGAAATTAACTTTCGAGCTTAGAATTCATGACCATTAATTGAAAGAATCATTTTGTTCAGGAAAGTTACATTTTGAGACGCTTATCAAATTTTATTCATTTAAAATGCAACCTAATAAATTCTGCGACTAAGCTTAATGGAATATACAATGGAATATACAGATGAATATCTCAATTGTTTAGTTATCTGCTCAAAAGATGCCTTGAAAGTGAAGTGCACTTTAGATAATTACAAAGGTTAGAAAATTAAGATCCCATATTACATCTACAGTTAGGCATACGTGTTGTCCCAAAATTATGATAATATTTTTTCAACTCATTCGCTTCTAAAGGACATTAAACTAAAAATAATTACATACAAATGTGAAAAGTGTGAAAGAATAATAAAAAGTTTGCTATGAAACAGATACTTTTGGTGAACCAAGTAGTACATATCCTTTTTTGCACTGAAATGAAATGGAGCGACCTTCTTCAACTTCTGATATATATTGTGCATAGTCATATGCACCCATTTGACCTTCTAACATAATTTGCCCACCTTCTAACATTCCAAACGTTTTGAATGGATGCTCACAGAGAACTTGAAAGTTATTTTACTGAATATTATTTACTGACTTACTAATCAAATTATTTAATGATTATAATTTTAAAAGTATTTTTTGAAAAAATCCCTTAACTATTTTCTTTATGGGATGAAATAAGACACTGAAATGACTAAAGAATTTATATGCATCTCTTCTAAACTACCACTGTGTTGCCTGGTTTTTTTCAGCTTTTTTTGGTATTCTGATCAGATTTTCTTAGCTATTTCAATGGCATATTTTTAAATTCAAGTTTGCTATTTAATTCAGACAAAACTTTAAATAATATTACTTAAAACAAGTGAGTTTAAATCATTAATTCATTTTAATGACACTTTACAAGCTACGCAAGTTTGTGAAAAATTACCTGGTTGGCAGGAAAACGGTTCACCTTCAGTGGACCACTCACCATACAAGCACTTGACGGTATTATGACTTCCTGATGGCTGATAACCTTTGTTGCATTCATACCGTGCAAATGCACCATGAGATGACTTCGCAAATACTACTTTAGCATTAGGCATTCGTGGTGGCCAGGATTTGCAACGTACTTAAAGAATTGTAGCATATAAATACTGCATTCAAGTTTAGTCAAATATACTAGTCAGACTGATAACTGATACTGTGAAAAGTCGAACTAATGATAGGTAGCATAAGGACCTGGTATACAGGTAGGTATATGTGACCATGTGCCATTCTGGCAAAGTATTGTATCTTCAGCTTCTACTATTTCATGTTTCGGTATACACTCTACTTTCAATCGTTCTCCATGTAATGCAATCTGAGATGGCATGTGATTCACAACATGGCCATAGGTTAATTCAGGTATGCGACATCCACCTGAAAATAGCCATCTGATTGTCAAATTAAAGTAAATGTTTCATTTCTGTGCTAGATCACGTTGTTTATCTATTATATATTCAATCAAGCTGCTATTTTTATGAAATTTGGACGTATTATGAATCCATCGCTCTTAAAACTGAAACAATGATATCCAATTTTTGTTCTTGCCATTGTATAAAGGAGGAAAAAAAACACATAAAGTAACTGCATAATGGAATCGAAATCATTTTAAGCAAAAAATATAGTATCCAAACTAACTTAGACATGTAGGCAAAGGATGGGACCATCGAGCATCGTCTTCACATTTAGCATAGGGTGCACCAATATGATTCATTCCTTCCAAACAGCGAAATACAACAATTGAACCAAAACGAGTATCATCGCCTTCGATGTAACCATTGTGTAGTGGAGGCAATTGTGGACAGCGAATTTCTTTAATCAACAAAATTTTGTATGCAAAAAGATTTTACAGAAATTTTTGGCCAAACTGATGACTGATCATATATATTTTGATCAAACCTTCACAAATTGGCTCGTTACCAGCCCATACACCCTCGGCAAGACATATTCTCTGCACTTGACCAACAAGGCGATAACCTGCCTTACAAGAATAGGTTACTCGCGACTGATATGTTAACGAACTGCCAAGCACCTTGCCATGCAATGGATCGGATGGTCTTCTACATTCTGTCGCTGAAAATTAAAAGAAAAATAAAAAACATAATGATAAAAACTATTTCAATCATACTATTAAAAATGTTATAGTTAATATATATATTAATTGGTACTAACGAAAAAAAAAAGATTTTTCTGTAAATTTAGGTACTTACGTTTACATTGAGGTAATTGCGCATTCCACTGTCCACTGCTCAAACAACGAAGCGTTGATGATCCAATCAGTTGATAACCAGGCAGACAAACTATTTCGATCGTATGAGGATAATAATATAAATCACCCTTTCGCACTCCATTCATTATGCTGCCAGGATCAGGACAACTACGAGCTGTAGAACTTGTACTCAATATTTCTATATTTTCATGGGCAAATTTCCATCAACAAATATTCTGCCTATAAAACTGAAAAAATAAAATGATCATTTAGTAAACAGCTTATGTGTTCAACTAGAGTATACCTCGACAACGCAATTCGGGACCAAACCATTGTGCTGTTTTTTCTCGGTTCAGTAAACATTTTGATATCGTTATGCCTTTATTATTATATCGATGGTAACCTGGCACACAAGTGTAATGAACTTCACTTTCAAGTTCATAACGACCGCTGTATGAATTGCCATCATGTTGGGCGTAAGGAATTTCTGGTGGTGGACCACAATTTTCTGTAATTTCTTGTAGGTATTACTCAAATTGATGAAACTCTGAAATATTTCGATAAAGTTTAAGCTTTACAACTTACTCAGAAGCTTGCACTCAGGTTTAGTACCACTCCATTCTCGATTTCCCTGACAACGTCGCTGCGAAGGACCAATCAGTACATATCCTTCATTGCAACCATATTCTGCATTTGAGCCAAATAAAAAGTCACTTGGCGTTCGAATAAATCCATTTGGGAGATCAACCAAAGGATGACAAGTTATCGCTAAACATTTGCTTTTATACGGTTTAATTTTTAATTGCCCGACCAAACTAAATTCGAAGTAGTAATTGCAGAACAAATAAGTATCTAAAAATGAAGCTACTACTTATGCTCGTCAATTCATAATTGTGCCTAATTTTGAGCATACACATCGATCGATAAGATTTAAATTTGCATATTGCTGTTGGCTAAGAGAAATTATAATTTACCATCGTCACACACAGTATTGTCATGATACTCTAGTAGTGTACGATAACTCACATGGATTAACGCAAGATAAGCCACAAGGACCATCACATAGACATCGTTTATTACTTCTCTTACATTGTTCATCCCGATGGCAAGCTTTTTTGCAGTAGTTAGGACGATTAGATGCATTTACTTCTGGACATACTGTGGTTGGATTACAGTAAGCTGAGTACAGTAATACTGAAAGTAACAGTATGCACTGTATTGTAAACATCGACGAAACTCTGAAATGTATTATTGAAAGCTTCACAAGTATATTAAGTCGTAACTGATTGAGTTAGAAGCTAGATGGTAGTCTACATTGGTTCAGTGCAATTAGTGAAGAGATCACGTAAAAGTAAAAGTATGCTGTAGGAGTGCGAGAAGATAAGATTGCGAAGGGCTGAGAAAGTGTAAAGTTTTTGCTTTGAAATGTTGTGCTAATGAACGACTGCAAAAGTTGTAAGTGATCGTTCATACTTATCACTTCCGTGTTTATATTTAGTGATTCAGTAAAGTTGAAAGAGCAAAGTTGAAAAGTCGATAGTACACGGAAAAGTAACCAGCGAGTCATTGTTTTCATCTCACATAATAGAAGGCACAAAGTTGTTGTTGTTCAAAAAAATGGGATCTTAATATCAGCTATATCATTTTCATTTCATATACATTCTTGTGTAAACTGACTCACGTACCTTTTAACATGAGGAGCATTCATTTACCACCGCCATCGTCATCGTCATCGTCATCATCATTGTTATTATCACTATCGATGAGTAAAAAGAAGTGCGCATATCACTGTTATCATTACTAAAATTATCAATAGCACTAACAACTTCACGAACAGTTATTGCAATATTTCCATTGTTTTCATGTTGTATTTGATACAAAATATAACTTAGCTGATGAAAATAGGTCAGAAAGTAGCGTAGAAATCTCTGATAAAGCTAAGACAAGCGTATATTTCTTTATCCCTTGCATCATTGTTCATTCTGTTTCATTAAATGCAGCAACTTCTACGAGTTGTTATATGCAAGCTGATTCCATGAAAGTTTCGCATTCTGTTGCATTCTTTCAGCTTTATCGGTTGAATGGGTTCATCAAGCAGAATAGAACGCAGACAGACTTTCTCGAATTAATTCAGTAAAGTATTTTATTTCAGCGACTATTTCAATAGGACTTCATTCAACAATCGAAAAAATTCTTTCAATGAAGTATTTGTAAGTTCTGCAATTAAGTTTTATCTTAACATATTTCTTACTTCTTATTAATTCTTTACAGAAAACTTTTCATTTGGGTTTTCGTTTTCTTATTTGTATACCTTTCTGAATACTACAACGAAAACTGGCAATCAGTCAATTCAATCTCTTAATTTGAAATGTAGAAGAGATGTGTGATTCTCTATGGTACGATTATTTGTGTTGATAGTGAGATTTTCTATTTTTGTGTAAAGTTAAGCAGTAAATTACTGGAATGCAAGGCAAGTTCTGTGAAACTTTTCGTTTATCAAAAACAGTAGAGGGAACGTGTAGAATTACTGCGCTGACAACTTTGCAGCTTAGAAGTGATAAGTGGTAATTCCGTTTGGTAAGCTATAGCTACTTTTGTTTTCTCTGACAGATGGAATCATTCATCTTTGCTTGCTTACTGTCAGTAGAAGATAGTTTTGTTTTTATCACTTTTTGGGTTGAATTGTATTCCTC